CTGCGCAGGCGCGTCTCCTGCTGATGACGAGCAGCTTTCAAAATAAAGAGCGAGCTCACAGACACCACCGCGGAGACTGAGCTACACACACACACACACACACACACACACACACACACACACTACCGGAGAATGAGACTTTGCCACTATCTGTTTAAAGCACACCGAACATTATGACTGATCAATGTGTGTACCGAAGGTTATACTTAAGTTTACGGTATATTTAAGGCTTTGTTAAAGATCTTTAAATGTCTTTTTCACACACACAGAAAAACAGATCAGACTCAACCAAAGTAACTATGCTTAAACAAAACTGACATTAACTCTCATAAAAACCTTTAAAAATCATGTAAGGCTATGTATGAATCACCTTCAGCTATAATACATACTTATGATATAATTATTTCAGTGTGGTTAAACTTAAGCCAGATATACTTCTATATCAGACACATTTGGGCTGAAAATGCATATACTTATTCACCGGCCACTTTATTAGGTACACCTCACAAGTTCCGGGTCAGACCCATTCTGCCTTCAGAACTGCCTTAATCCTTCATGACAGATTCAACAGTATACTGGAAATATTCCTCGGAGATTTTGCTAAATATTGTCATGATAGCATCACACAGTTGCTGCAGATTTGTCGGCTGCACATCCATGATGCCAATCTCCCGTTCCACCACATCCCAAAGCTGCTCTATTGGATTGAGCTCTGGTGACTGTGGAGGCCATTTGAGTACAGTGAACTCATCGTCATGTTCAAGAAAGCAGTCTGAGATGATTGAGCTTTATGACATGCTGCGTTATCCTGCTGGAAGTAGCCATCAGAAGATGGAGACACTGTGCTCATAAAGGGATGGACATGGTCAGCAGCAATACTCAGGTAGGCTGTGGCGTTGATGCTCAATTGGTACTAATGGACCCAAAGAAAATCTCCCCCACACCATTACACCACCACCACCAGCCTGAACCGCTGATACAAGGCAGGATGATCCATGCCTTCATGTTGTCTGAGCCGAGCATCTGAATGTGTCAGCAGAAATGGAGACTCATCAGAGCAGCAACGTTTCTCCAATCTTCTATTGTCCAGTTTTGGTGAGTCTGTGTGAATTGTAGCCTCAGTTTCCTGTTCTTAGCTGACAGGAGCGGCACCCGGTGTGCTCTTCTGCTGCTGTAGCCCATCCGCCTCAAGGTTGGCCGTGTTGTGTGTTCAGAGATGCTCTTCTGCAGAGCTCGGTTGTAACGAGTGCTTATCTGAGTTACTGTTGCCTTTCTATCAGCTGGAACCAGTCTGGCCATTCTCCTCTGACCTCATCAACAAGGCATTTGCGCCCACAGAACTGCCGCTCACTGGATATCTCCTCTTTGTCGGAGCATTCTCTGTAAACCATCTGGTTGTGCGTGAAAATCCCAGTAGATCAGCAGTTTCTGAAATACTCAGAGCAGCCCGTCTGGCAGCAACAACCATGCCACGTTCAAAGTCTCTTAAATCCCCTTTCTTCCCCATTCTGATGCTCAGTCTGACCTGCAGAAGATCCTCTTGATCATGTCTACTTGCAGTAAGCTGCTGCCATGTGATTGGCTGATTAAAAATTTGCATTATTGAACAGTTGTACCTAATAAAGTGGCCAGTGAGTGTATATACAATATAAGATCCACTGTACACGTGTGAAAGAGCTGCATGTTTCTGCCAACTCTTTTAAACCCATTAACTGTTTTCAGTGTAAATATAATAATAATATCAATCAAAAATATAATAAAAGATAATAAATATCTATCAGAAATAATCAGATGTGATAAAAGCATAATATACATTTATCATATGCGAATATCTACAACATGGTAGTGAAGCATTATGCACTGAAGAGTGTTGAGTTCAGGGTTAAACTTGTGCTTCAGGGTGATGCTGGTTTATATTCACACATTCAGACTTTCACCGTCTTAATACAACTTTCTTATAAATAATATTAATGTTTGCAAATTATGAAAAGTGAAAGGACATTATCAGACAATGACTATCACAGCACTGCTCATTCAATTAAACAGTGCTGATGTTGTTTTACTTACATGTGATTTCAGACCCAACCTGTGTAAAGCAGCGGTGAACAGTATAGAGAGCGTCACAGGCTGCTCAGAGCAGTACATCACTATAACTCACCGTCATCATCCTGCTTTAGTGAAGGCTGAGTGTGTGCATATAAACTAACTGTACCTTGTGTGTGTGTGTGTGTGTGTGTGTGCATCAATCCTAGAGTGCTGCTGAAATCACAGTAAAACTGTAGTGTGTGTAGATCAGTGATTGGAGACTGCAGTGTTTCAGGAGAGCAGCTCGGGTCTCCTCTTTAATGCGCATCTCATTCCCAAAGTCCACATGTACAAAACTGCAGAGGATTTACAAATCAGCTCAGCACACACACACGCACGCACGCACGCACGCACACACATGAACTCATCCAACAAAAGACTGGGAGAGCAGACCGTCTGTGTTCGTTTAATGATGTGAACAGTTTTTACTAAAAGTATTCTCTGAATATAGCTTTATCAATATACATGTTGAAGATCACAGTCTGCCCACATAAAACATGATTTACTTACAAAGCCTTACTTCTGCAGAGGCGTTCGTCCAGCGCGAGGCGGACGCAGAGTCTGTGATCCGCATAAATTAATCAAGACAGACAGACGGACTGAGCGCTGCGCTGCGTTATAAAGATCGTACAAATTCATAAGAAAGAGTCTTCCTGCATCACCATCCAGTGGAAGGCAATAAATTAGAGATGCAGTTTGATGAGCGGCTCTCTGTGTGAGTGTGTGTGTGTGTGTGTGTGAGAGTGTGTGTGTGTGTGTGTGTGTGTGTGTGTCAGTATTGAGTATGTCTGTCTTCATTTGGAGCGGTGTGTGCGTGTGCGTCAGTGTGTGTCTGTGTGTGTGTGTGTGTCTTCATTTGGAGCGGTGTGTGTGTGTGTGTGTGTGTGTGTGTCTTCATTTGGAGCTCTGCTGTTGTAGATGCAGCAGGAACTCGTAGTATGAGAGAGCAGATTCACTGCGGTCCTCGATCATCAGCTGCAGGAACTCAGCCTTCAGTGGAGACTCATCTCTGCACACACACACACACACACACACGGACATTACTACAGTAAACAGCACACTGCTGACACAACATTATGAGCAGAACATCACTGTATGCGTCTGATGAGCGGTACACAGAGAGTGTGTGTGAGTGTTCCTGCAGACTGTTTTCAGTACAGTAGTGAGCAGAACTAACCCAGCTCATTCCTGTGCACCATTAGAGGCTGCTGGACAGATTCACACACACTGCTGGGGTTAAACCCCTTATTGAAGTGTTTTCTGCGTAACAGGTCCCCTTTAAAGACTCCCACTCCAGCTGTGTTTGAGTGTGTGTGAAGTGTGTGTGTTTGCGTCTCTGACCTGATGACGTGCAGCAGCGGGTGAAACGGCCTCCGCTCCCGCAGCCAGTCCACAAACGCCCGCATCCGACACGACTCTGCAGTGTCCAGCTCGGGAAGCTGCGTCTGCGCACACACACATGCACACACACTAATCAACTCTGAACACTCTACTACACACACACACACACGAGCATGCAGTGTTAGAGGAATCAGGGTTTAATGTGGAGTGAACAGCACTGCGCACGTCTGAGACCACCAGCTGCTGTGGGAGACACTGACTGCAGCACCAATCCTCTGCCTGGAGTCATTACTGTAGACTGAACTACACGGACACAATATTCAGAACAAATAAACTGCAGGAATCAAAACACCAGCATCATCCAGCGTGATCTCTATAGCACCAAGGAACCGCTTGAACATGTTCTGAAGAGTCTTTTCTGAAACTATGCTATTTAAGATCAAGTATCTCAACATTTCCCAGAGTTCTTCCTCGGGTTAAGCATGCTCTGTCTCCGTCTCCAGGTGAATTTCAACCTGCCTATAGTTTTGCCTGTTCATACTGTATCTAATATTCAGGTCAGGACTCTGTGCAGGCCATTTCATGAGAGGCTGTATTTTCTGGTTGTATTATAATAGAGCAGGGCTGTCCACACTCGGTGCTGGAGGGCCGGTGTCATGAAGAGTATAGCTCCAACCCTGATCAGACACACCTGAACCAGCTGATCAAGCTCTTGCCAGATCTACTAGAAACTTCCAGGGAGGTGTGTTGAAGGAAGATGGAGCTAAACTCAGCAGGACAGCGGCCCTCCAGGACTGAGTGTGGACACCGCTGAACTAGAGAAGTCTTATATAACATCACTATACACTAAATCAAGCAGCAGATGGTACTGTGGTGGGCTAAGACTTCAGCACAGCGCTGCACGTTGAATTATTGTTGTCTGCATGACTGCTGGACGTCCTGTAGTGAGCAGCAGTGGGTTCACAAATGAAGTGTGTATGGTAAATGTGAATGTGTGTATGCTCAGCGTACCATGTTGAGAGGAATATTAGCGTAGCCGTCCACTCCCAGCACCTGTGTGAGGAAAGCTGGATTACAGTTTCTCCCAATCCACAGATACAGGACCTGAAAGAGAGCAGAGCGTGAGGGAGGAGCCACAGTGTGTGTGTCAGCAGAATACTTCACCCTGATTGGTCAAATCCAGCAGCGTGTGCATTAATGAGGATTTATCCATTCATCTTACCCGTATGTTCAGGAGACCACATGTACTGTTTTTCAATATTCTGACCATATCTCTATATTGATTACTCAATTTGTGTATCTAAACACTGGCAGACCCCCAATACATAAAGCACTTTGAGTTTTATTTGTGTCAATAAATGCTTGTTATTTGTTTATTATATTTTATACAGATGCACTGGCCTGTGTGTGTGTGTATGTGTATATATATATATATATATATATATATATATGTGCGAGTATGTATGCAAGTGTGTGCATATATTTCCCCACACACATCACATTTCATATAATAAACTCATCATAAATAAACTCATGTCAGATTCAGTCTGATATTTTGTACAGAATATAGTTAT